TTAAGTCAAAGATTTGTACTTAATTTCTTTAATTTTATACTTATATCTCATTTTCTCTTAACATTGAAAATCCTGACTTTTACTGTTCTAGGACCTGTGTTTCTTACGTGTTCTGGGGGTCAGAAGACATACATATATAGATATTTTGCTAACTCTTCATCCGTAAAATCTTCAACCAGTCCCTTACTGGTGAGTATCTGGTTTGTTTCTAGTTTTCAGCATCAGTCAATGTTCTCAGGCACATACCTATTTGTCAAAATAACTGACATACATTTTTAAATGAAAGACTGTTCAAGCAAAAGGTAAATGCATTTATAATTTTTCCAAATAAGCGGCATACTTTTAAATATGTTCATCTTGCCATGAAAAATTGTTTTATTACAGAGAAAGAAAAAACCCGCTTCACTGGAATAATCATATTTAATCAATGAGAATTTAATGGTGGAATTTAAATTGTTAAACTTATGCATGGTTTCTCATGCATGGTTTATAAAAATAAACACCTTAAGCAGTACAAACATTTGAACAACTTTACTTTCCTTGCTCTCTTATAACTTCAGTGGTCTCCAACCCACTATGTCTTAGGAAAAATGTAACAGGAAAACTTTTAAAACCTTCTATCAATATGTCAACACAAACATATACATGTGAGTGGGGATTGATAGATAAATAGAAATTGTGAACATTTCTGGTTTTAATAAATTGATTAGCTTTTTTAATTGGTCAAGAAAGTTACAATCTTTTAAATAAATCCCCTTATTCATTCCTTGTACTGCAATCTAACACAATAAAATGGAAAAAATATTAGTTGTATCTGCATAATAGCACTTGGAATATTTTTTAAAGTGTTGGTAAATCTCCAACTTTGTCTTCTTGGGCCTAAAATATAATCCAACTTTTAAACGCAAAATGAGTTTTATTTGCTGGTCCTTTTTATTCTCAAATATGTTGAAAGCACACAATTATATTGTCTTGTGCTATTTCAGTTACTATCCTCTTCTGAAATCAGGAATACCATCCCAAGAAATGGGTGAATCATATTTGCTTTTATATCTCACACACTGCAGAATTCAGTCTCACAAACAGTTGAACCATAAATTAAAAATGGTAGACTCACATTTGAATAGCAGCCGGTTATATATAAAAAACATACAAATTTAAAAAGTGACTTGTATCAATAAAAACTGGTGAATAAATCACTAATGATTTGTTTCCTCATGCTGTCATATTATTCTTCAGATAAAACCACAAAGGCAAATAAGCATTCACGAGATGACATTAAAAATGCCTAAACTTGCTTCTTCCAAATTTTCAGGGTTCTATTGAAAAAGGGAAGCTTTGGCATCTTCCTTTGCTTCTTCAAGGCTAAAATCAATAAAACAACAATGAAAATCATACATCTTCCGTTTGTAGGCTCACTATAAATAACCATTTCTGATATGCTTATCGAGCTCACTTCATCTTTTTAAGGACTGTAAAGTCAAAACTCATTATACACTCAGTTAATAACACTCTACTTTTAAGATATGAAGATATAGCTACTGTTTACTGCAGCTAGCCAATAAAAGCATTTTGACAATACTGATTAACACCACGGAGATACTTATGTAGGGGTAGCCTAGAAATGGCTATTTGCTTTTAGTAAAATAAATAAATAAAAATATAATTTTGCTGATAAGTTATTTATAAAGTTTATCTAAAGGTGGAATAAGAAAACATTAACTACCTTTTTCACATGCATGTATGCAACCTTTCCTGCTAACGAAGTTATTGTCATTCCCTCCACAGCCAGTATAGGTGAAAGCCTCACAGGTTTTGTATCTTGGATTAAAATAATAGCGAGTCACATTGGCAGAGCACAGTCCCTCATCTTTTGGACTGTAGCAATATGATAGACCTTTGTAAAAAAGAGAAGAACATTAGAAATGTTATAATACCAGAATTTTAAAATTATGGTGATTACTGAAGTAACTGAAGAAAATCTAATCCCATAGAAGCCTTATTCTGAATCCAAGATATCATACTAAACCTTTAAAAGGTGTGCTTCAAATTGCAGGTAAACTTACGTGCTATATTTTGGTAACTGTAAATTTTTATAAACTGAATAAAATTTCTTCTGAAGCTACATCTTTGTAGTCTTTAAATATAAAAAGAAGTTAAACCCAAATACCAGATATGGTTAGGTAAAAATGGGCTAAGTTTCAAGGACAATATATGGCATGATTTAGTAAACTTTGTTGCGTTGGTAGTTTTATTTTAATGTTTTTCACAGCTCTCATTCTATTATTAATCAAGAATATATGTATATTAATTTCCAGATAACCACTACAATAAAACATATCTACACAAACAAGAGCACATCCACAGCAACCGTCGCCACATTAACTCAAGATTTTGCATATTCAATACAGTATAGCTATAAAGCTTTATCAAGTTCTCTGCCAAAGCAAGTTTTCCTTGTTTGTTGAACTTTTTAAAAATTTTTGTGTCTGGGGGAAATCCTTGTATTGTTTCCCCCTGCAAATAATAAATACTACTCAAGAGACCATCATTTCAAGGATTCAGGGGTGGTGGCGTGAGAGGTAACAGATGGATTGGACAGAAACATATAGAGTTGTTTGTGCTGCAATTTGCAATTACTAAAGAATATAGAAATCTAATCAAAAACTTTAGAAAGAAATTTTCAAGTTTCACCATCTTAATTCTGTATACATTCCACTATCCCACATGTATAACTGATTCTGTACAAGTCTGAGGTCATAACATTCATTAAGGAATAATCTTTTATGTGTGAATTGAGTAGATGAGAAATAGTTCTAAATAAACAATTCAGAAGAGGCAGAAAGCAAAAATTTGAATCATGGCTTTGTCACTTTCCAGTCTTAAGAACTTGACAAGTCATTAACTTGCCAAGTAATGTGAAATCATGAGAATGCAAACCACGTATTTCACATCAAATCGAATTTTTTCCACCCAAATGTCTTAATAAAAAAGTAAAATAGAACTACCATAAAAATAGTATTTACTTTTCTTTGGTGCACAGAAGCCCATACAAGTAGCTTCATCTGGAAACATGTTCACATTCCGGTGACACCAACCGAGTAAGAATTTTTCACATGTCATGGAGCTTAGATTGAAGAAATACTTTTCTATGGACCCCTCACACTGGTCCACATTCACTTGCAGCCGGCAAACTTTGGGAACTTCTAGGAAAAGGAGGGCAATAGAACAATGTTAGTCAAAAGTAGCCTTCTTATTATTACTTTCAAACTTTTGCTGTGTTTTCAGCAACATTCGGGGGCGCGGGGAGAAGTCATATTATTGTTGGGATAGTAAATCCCCAAAACACTCCCATGAATCCAGCTATTTACCTTTTTCTTTACTTTTTTTTCTAAGAGTCCATATTCAGCTGATTCAGCTGTGCTATATCTTTCAAGTTGAGTGGAAAGACTGTTTTCTCTGGGTGTTCTCTGATTGTTTGTACATATGCAGTTAATCAAAGCTTAGTCACATGAATACACGTTTTCTCCTGCCTCAGTTCCTTGAATGGCAAAGCCCCATATTCTCTTACAGGCCTTAACAGATATAATTTAAAAATTAAAAAAGTAAAATATAGCAGTATAATGAATCTCCACCATATCCCGCAACTAATCCAACACGTTTGGGTATCGGGACAAAAAAGAGTTGAGCCAAATCACACTTTAATAATAAAATCCAGTAAAAGTGTTTCAGTTGATGGATAATCGACAAGAGGAAATTATGTCCTCCAGGAGAGAGAAAAAACCATAGGTTTGGAACTAATGATAAATACAGAGAAGCACGTCTGTTGCGCCTAACACATTATTCTCGTGCATTTATTATACTCTATGATGAAGTAACAAATACATCCCTTAGTCTGCCCAGGCATTGAATTATGATCAATGTCAGTTGGGAGACAGGAAATGTGTTAGTGGTTGTAAATTAGTGAATACTTTTGAGAAACTGAAAACCATGGGGTTTGCTTAACACGAGAAAACCCAGGCTACAACTTCCTGTAGATAGCGATACTTTGGAAACCTGCGAAGTTGCTACTGGCCGCCTACGCAAGGCGCGCACGAGGGAGTCCCGGGTGCGCCCGGGGGCACTTACTCTGTATCCACCAGCAAGCGTTGTCGCAGGCCTCCTGGGTTTCGAAATTGTTGGCGTTGCCCTCGCAGCCCCCATACGTGAACTGGCGGCAGCTCTGAGTGTACCTGTCGTAGTAGTACCTAGGAATTCGGGACTGGCAGGGTCCCTCGTCTGGGGGCAGGAGACAGATCTCCGCGTTATTTCCTGCAGGAGGGGCAGAAGGAAAGCGAAAGACAGGGAAAGTGGTTATGTGTATCTCCTAGGAGGAAGGGGCATCCCGGGGAGTTCTGTCCCCGCCGATTCCTAGCGGAGGGGCCTCTGCAGAGAAAGTGCACACTTGGGGGCCAGTCCCACTTCCCCGAGGCTCCTCGGATCGCGCCTCAGGAGCCTGGAGGAAGCGAGGTTTGGAGGGCGGGTGCGCGGGGCCCCTTGGCCCGCTGCACCCTCTCCGCCCGCACCAGGGGAAGCTCTTTGGGGACAGAGGCTCCCAGAGTGGCCAGATACCTGTTGGCTCCTGAGCAGCATCGCCCAGTGCAGCCACCGTTAGGAGCAGGAGCAGAATCGACAGTCCCACAGGGCGAGAGGGGTCCATTGTGCAGGGGGACTAGCCGCCCGCTGGGCGAGGCGTCTTAGAAAACGCCGGGCAGGAGGAGGCGCGCAGCGTCCTGCTCCAGTCGGCCTGAGGTGTCCTGCTCCAGTCGGCCAGAGTGCCAGCTTTATGCAGGGCGAGCGTCCGGCCGACCCCCACTGGGGCGGAGCCAGAGGGGTGGCTGATTCATGCCGCGGGGGAGGGGACGGGGGCTGTGACCCCGCTGCCCCTGCTGCAAACTGTGTAAGAGGGAGAAGAATTCCCTGCCAAGTTGAAAGGTTGAACTGAACCTGACTCCCAAACTTTCTCCTGTTGTCCAGGCTGGGCTGTTCAGAGGGAGCGTTTGTGTCAGTAATGCGAAATCTCCAAGCTAGGCGGAAATGACCTGCGGGTGATTGTGCCTTGAAGAAGCCCGAATCTACCTTTTGAAGCCATGAAGTCCAGGTATTTGAAAGGCCGGTGGAGAGAAAGTGTGGAATTCTTGGGTCAGAGGGGAGCGGGATTCATTGCAATAGACTATCGGATTAGACTAGAAATGTAAATATGTGTTTATTTATATTTATTCATACAGATTTCAATTGAGTTCTAATTTACATTTAATACAGGCTTAAAATATATCGTAGGTGGGCAGTTTGATAAATTTTGACAAGCGTATAACCACCAACAAAGAATTAGAACATTTCAGCTGGGCGTGGTGGCTCACACCTGTAATCCTAACATTTTGGGGGGCCAAAGAGGGCGGATCACCTGAAATCAGGAGTTCGAGACCAGCCTGGTTAACATGGTGAAACCCCATCTCTATTAAAAACACAATAAATTAGCCGCCAGTGTTGGCAGGCGCCTGTAATCGTAGCTACTCGGGAGAGAGAGAGAAAGAGAGAGAGCGAGAGAGAGAGCGAGCGCAGAGAGAGAGAGAGAGAATTAGAACATTTCCATCACCCCAGACAGAAAGTTCCCACAGATCCTTTCCCAAACAATCCTTCCATTCTCAGGTCTGGGACAACCAGTCTTCTCATTTCTAGTACCACAGATTAGTTCTGCCTGTTCTTGAATTATGTATAAATGAAATCATAAAGTATTCACTGTATGGTATTTCTTTCTCACAGTTCCTGTTTTTGAGATACACCCAGGTCATTGCATCAATAGTCTGTTCCTGTTCCTTTTAATTCCTGTGTACTCGTCCAAAATATGAACGTACCAAAATGTATGAATATCCTACAATGTATATGTTTCTGTGTGTATCAATAGTCTGTTCCTTTAAATTATTGAGTAATAGTCTAACATATGAATATACCACAAATGTCCTGTTACTGGAATTTGTGTTTCTAGTTTGTTTGGGGGCTCTTTTAAAGCTGAGTTGTGTGGACATGCAAATTTTATTACTCTTGGATAAAATACTTAGGAATATTAGATACTACCAAACAATTTTTCAAAATGATTGTACCATTTTACACCCCCACCAAGCATGTATGAAGCTATGTTTTTGCATGTAGCTATAATTTTGGAGATGAAACATAGAAGTCCAGAGAGGTAGTCTTGGGGAGTTCTAAAGATTTGACCACATCAGTGCCTTCCCACACTTCCTTAATGTCAGTACATTCGTTAAAGTTCCCTGTTCCTTTGACATATTAGCTTGTGATATACTTTTTTTAAAATACAATTACCTACAGTGAAATTTTACATAAAATACTAAAGACAATTTTGAAGACATTTTAATAGATTCTGTTAACGAATGTCTCTTCCCTTCTTTTCTCTTGTCCTATTCAACATTCTCAAGTAAATAATTGTTCTTGACTTCTGAGGATACTGGGGCGAGTTTACAGGAGTTCACTTTCAAGTTTTCAGGAAGCCCTGAAACGTACAGGACAAACTTGCTCAAAGTGGGTTAATAATCCGAAGTATTTTGCACATTATATCCTTGTGACAGTTTTCAGTCATTCTCATGTCATATTACAGGGTCATATTCCTAGGAAAACCAGCTTGATCTGGAAATGCTGTCAGCTTTGATTACCAGATACCTATGATTAAGAATGATAGTTAAAACCATAGGGTAAATGTTTAATTTTTTTCCTACCTCTTCAGTAGGAAAAAAAAAAATGGGATAGGGATGGCTTGTATAGTTCACTGATTTCTGTGGTGTAAATGCTCTCACTAAGGTCAATTTCAAGCTGCCACTACAGAATCACTGACTGCAGAGGTGGGAAAAGATCTCCAAGAGTCAGAGCTCCCCAGAGCCAAAACCTGTGTGAGCTGGCTTTAAGGCACCAACTGCTAAGACACAAAGCCAGTTTTGGAATGACACATTCAGAGTAGTCAGGTTAGACCCTCCCAGTTCCTTCAAAATATTATTAGGGGAGGGAAATTTTACCACTCATTTACTGAGAATTATATTCAGGAGACAAGTTAACTCAACTTCAAACTTACCTATTTCCATCTTCTGAATATAATTAAATAAATCTTTAAACTAGACTAACATAAAATTCAAGAACTGATACTCAGTTTTCATGCAGCACTGACTACTGTCATTCCTCTTTGTTCTAAGCTGCTGGACACTTTTCGATCATCTTTTGCTAACACAGAAAAATGAACCCCTAGACACAGTGGCTCCTGCTAGTAATCCCAACACTCTGGGAGGCTAACTCAGGAGGATTTGAGGTCAGGTCAGGGGTCAGAAACCAACCTGGGCAACATAGCATGATTCCATCTCTACAAAAAAAAAGTTTAAAACTAGATATACACCTGTAGTCCCAGCTATATTGGAGCTGAGATGGAAGGATTGGTTAAACCCAGGAGTTTGAACTTGTGGTGAGCTATGGTCATGCCATGGCACTCCAGCCTGGATGAGAGAGTGAGACTCTGAATCTGACTAAAAATAAAGGAAAAAGATTAGCCCTTTTGAATGAAGACAGACGTTTTGGGAAATTGCATGGTGCTGTGGAAAAAACAGAGTTGGAATTCAGAGATACCTGGATTTTGTTCCTAGTTACATTGGACAAGTTACTTAAAACTCTCTGAGCCTCAGTTTCCTTTTCTAATAGTCATAACTCTACCTCACAGATGTGTCGTGAGGATTAAATAGAAAGTGCTTATGCATTCAAAGATGTTGTTTTAGTCCCTAACACAATGGTACAAACTTCATCCAGATTATCCCATATCCTACTTCCCATTGAGAGCCTTGGCATACAATTTTGAGATGGAGCATCAACTCCCATCAGGAAACAGAGCAACATGAACTGGCCTTATGGAACTGAAGCCTGTGGCCTTGCTCCCATCAGCTGTTCTCTTAACTAAGCTCATGAACCACGTCTCTGCCCACAAAGTGGTGACACTGATCAGATACCACTTCCTGCTAGTCTCTTCTAGGGCAATGAGCTTCAGGGGGATCTCATACAGAGCAGAGTCCTCAGCCCACTCAGGGCTGCTGTATAAGGCATTGAGTGGAAATGGAAGGGGGGCAAAAATAGGCCTCTCACCTTTCTATGGTGTGGTCTGTAGATGAAAGTTTTCCAACCTTTCAGTCCTGAAAGATGCTCTAGAAATGCTGGTTTCCTTCTCCTTTCCCATGCCAAACAGGGGAAACCTCTATGATGGCTGATGAAGAAAAGAGAATTAAAGAAGTGGAATTGGGAGAAGTTTGAGATTACCAAGCCAGATTATTAAAAAAAAAAAAAAATACTACTCTTAATTGCAGAATAACTGAGTGCTTTTAATATAAGTGAAAAAAGACATCTTCCAACATAAGGGTAATCTGAATTTCCTGGAGACTACTTTGACGTTACTGAATTACATTTAGGATATTTTGGAAAGAACAACATGACCACCACAATCAGCCTCCAAAGGGATGTCATAGCACTTCTATCTCCTTAACCCAGTCTCTAGGCCAAAATGTTGCCACAAGGCTGAGGAAAGTAATTCCTTTGCTCAAAGTCAACAGGAAGTGCCAGGCTAAAGATAACTGGGAAAAACAGTCATCCAGATTGATTTGTCATTGCTACACCAATTGACGGCTAAATTGTCTGTGGCTAAAGACAAAGGCTCAAAAGAGTCTGGGGTTCTGTAAAAATAAGGCATGAAATTGTTATAATTTGAATGCTGAATGGAACTATAATATATTCACTTTACAGTAGTGTGAACTGAGATTACCTGCCATGGTTGTTGGCAGACCCGAGACTAGAATCCACAGTTCTGGATTCTTAGTTTTATATTCTTTCTAACACACCCAGGCCTAGGATCTTTCTACCATACCAAGACCTTAGAGTAGAATATGAAATAACAGAATTTAAAAATGCAAAAGCTACAGTGAGTCCAGGAGCGCCTCTGCATGTGTCAAATTGCTGCCTCTGATCTTTCTCACTACCACTTCTCTGGGTCCCACAACAAATGAAATTGCTTTTGAACTGTTTAGCCCCTCCCATACCTTGAGTAGGATGCTATACCCACTGGGAGTCCTGCAGACTCAGTACATGAACCAAGAATTTAAGAAAGGGATTGTAGCAGATGGTCTTCTTCTCTTTCAGACACCTTAAAGAGAAGTAGCATGTCTGGCTTATGAGTGAATGATGAGAATTAACTGAGTCCAGTGAGGTGGGGATACATATTATGTAACATAGCTATTTAAGGAATTACACTGATAACTCCTCAAAAAACAAAGACAGTTTTTGCTGCCTGTTAGTTTAAGCCCTGCCAAAATAAAAGTTGAAATGACTCCAGCTGCCACTTAGGAGGATCTTACACATCTGCTAAGAAAGACAGTTAATCTCTTCTGAGCAATAAACGGTCATGAGGGTTTTGCTTAAGTTTAAGCAACTCCTTCACCAACTAGGTATTTTTCTAACTAGCTGGCCTATGTAAGAAACATTTACTCTAATGCACCCTTTGTCAGGCACAGAGTGCACTTGAGAGCTATACAATAAAATGAAGCCACATGAAAGGATGAGGTATCCTCTGTGCCTAATTTTATGAATCTCCTTCTCCTTAGAAAGTTATAACAAGGGTATATAACATTTCTCTTACTGTGTTCATACCTTCATTCATCTCCCTTAAAAGGAGCTGATTAAATGTTTAAAGTGTGACAAACTTTATCATAGGCATTTGGGATACAAATATGAGGGATTTCATAGCATAACAGGGTAGATGAATGAACACTATATAACCCAGTTACATTACAATGCTCTTAGTACAACATCAAAAATATGTACTAGGTTGTATAGGATTATAGATGAGGAAGTATATAAAATGTAAGCAAAGCTCAATTCCAAATAAAATCCAATCTATGCAAACATACCTGACACTACATCTTTTGAGCCTATGCAATACAGAGACTCATTCCTTCATCTATTTGTTTTGGTTGACTGTTTTAGGTGCTGTGGTTCTAACAAAGTATTGCCTTCTGCAGAAGAGCAGAATCTCAGAAACCTCTTCTCTCTGCTTCCTGGATGTACATT